CAAGTGCAGTTCGACAACATCAACAAGCAATTAGCAGAGTTGAAGTCGGCGCCGGCGACAACGACGACCGAACCCAAAACGCCGACGAAGCAGGATACAATCCCAGGAGACGATCAAAGCCCTCAAGCTCTGAATGCGCGAATTCAGAATCTGGAGCGCCAGTTGATCCTCGCTGGAGATGGACATCGTGAACGGAATCGAGAATTTCATCACCACGATAGACGTCCGCCGGAAACAGGGGTTCTTGACGAGCTCCGTGGAATCAAGTTGAGCATACCTTCGTTTCAGGGTAGCCTCAATCCCTCTGATTATTTGGATTGGGAACGGAAGGTGCTCCTGTTCTTTGATTGTCACAATTACAACGACGAACAGAAAATCAAACTTGTGTCTTACGAGTTTGATGGTTACGCAGCGGCATGGTGGGAACAAATTCGCATTAAGCGAAGAAGAATCGGACTTCCACCCATAGCTACCTGGCTGGAGTTGAGGAGCTTGATGAGGGACCGGTTTGTGCCCTCGTATTATCAACGCGACCTCCACGACACTCTGCAGTTACTTCGTCAGGGAAACCGGAGTGTTGAAGAGTATTACCGAGAGATGGATCTCCTGATGATCCGAGCTGACATTAGGGAAGACAAGGAAGCTACGATCAGCAGGTTTTTACAAGGCCTTCAAAGGGAAATCAAAAACCAAGTCGAGCTCTTCCCATTTGTGGAAATTGAAGAAGTTGTTCAGCTGGCCGCAAAGGTGGAAAAGCAATTGAAACAGCAGGGGTCTGGCAAGAGGTTCCCTCCAGCAGGTAACACTTCCAAGCCAAGTTTGGAACCTGAATTGACACCTGAAATCCCTCGAACAATGCCTAGGAACACTACGACAACTCTTCCAGCTAAGACGAATAGTTCCAGTAGCACAATTCGCTGCTTTAAGTGCCATGGTTATGGACACAAATCTCATCAGTGTGCTAACCAGAAGATAATGGTAATCCGAGATGGTCAGTACTATTCTGAAGACGAGGAGGAGACCGAGGAAAAACCTGCTGGTGAATTGGAGGGAGAAGAGATGGAGGCGGACAAGGGGCCGTTGTTTGTAGTTCGACGAGCCTTGGCAAGTCAGGAGGAGGATCCTGCTGAAATGGATCAAAGAACCAACCTGTTTCACACTAGATGTCAGGTTAAAGGAAAAATTTTGACGGTGATTGTTGACGGAGGAAGTTGTGCCAATGTAGCAAGCCTCGACGTCGTGAAACGATTGGGTTTGGTTATGACCCCTCGACCTGAGCCATATTCTCTCCACTGGCTCAGTGATCACGCTGTGATCAAGGTCAACAAACAGGTACGAATTCCATTCTCCATTGGAAAGTATCGGGACGAACTGCTCTTCGATGTCATTCCGATGCAGGCCACACACTTGGTCTTGGGAAGGCCTTGGCAATTTGACCGAAAGGTTTCTCATCATGGCCACACAAACCAGTATACGTTTGAGCATGGAGGAAGGAAAGTGATTCTTAAGCCTCTGTCGTCAGAAGAAATTCGAGCCGACCAGCAGCATATGGCGCGAGGCCGAGCTAAGGATGAAGATGGGACGAAGAAAGGAGCTTCCGAGGCTCAGTTGCTGGCTAGGAGGTATTTGCTGACTGTTCTTGCTGGCAAGGCAGTCCCGCGAAGGAGCAGAGTGCGCCGACCCTGTATTTCGGCTCCCCTGAAGCGCACTGAATGGGGTGGAGCAGCTGGAGATGAACCGAGACGCGCTGCTGACTCCAACACGTTAGAAATTCGCCCAACAACGTGTAAAACTGGACAGAACTCGACGAATCGAGCTGTCTCGATGGATGCCAAAGTCGACATTTTGCCTCCACACAAGACGGCCGACGAACAAAAAAAGGAGGAATCGGTTGGCGAGTTCGGGGATGAATCGAATCAATCCATTGCTTGGAGATCCCTTCTGGAGTCTCAAGGAAGGTGTAGGGATCAAGAAATCAGCTCGGAAACGCCTACTGATGAAACGCCCAATATTCAAGTTGCCTCGCCGGATTCTGGAGAATTGTCGCCGGAATCTGGGAATTTTGAATTCCCCGGTGGCGGGAACCCTTTGAAGTTTGATTCCAGCCGATTAGAAGCACATCGAAGGCCGAAAACTTGTGCAATCGATTCGTGGGAGCTTTTAGAGCTGAATGTAAACAATAAATCGCGACGGGAACGCCTGAAACGGAAAGCCCCAATATCGACAAGCTCGCCGGAAAATCGGGCTTCGCCGGAAAATCAGGTTTATGGACTTGAATTTTGCGACCCTGTGTGGGAGGATTTTCTCTATCGTTATGAATGCAGGATGATCCAAGCTTTGAGGACAAAGCTTTTTAAAGAAGGGGGCCCTGATATGATCTCGATTACAAGCTCTCACAACCTCCAATTAATCGCTCAAAGATCGGGTCAAGTTAATACGAACAAGGCTGGAATTTTCCTAAGTGTTGAAACAGTTTTGGGAAGGGTACTTTGGAATGCCGTATCTCTCAAACCCTTCATTGAAAATGCAAGGTTAGGGTCTCATTTTGAACCTTGGATGTTTGTTTATAGTTTTATGCATTTGGGTTGTGGAAATAAGGACAGGAGGATTGATTTCCAAAGCCATCAAAACCCTATCATGCATTCTGGAATCTGCCAGTTTTTGGCTAAGGCAGGAAGACAGTCTTTGATACCAACTTTGAGCTTGGATTCACGACGATTGGAGCATGTCCAGCTGGAGCTTGGAGTTGGAAATGAAACAGCAAGACTTTCTAAACCAAGGGAAGGAATTGGTTGAGCTCGACTCAACCCAGAAGACTGATTTCCAGACCCACAAAGTTGACATCAAGGGCTGTTCTGGAACAGTTTACTTAAGAGAGAAGTTAGTTACTTAGGCTGCAAGTTTTGGTTGTTAAACGTAGTCTTTTTCCTTGTTTGATTCAGAATTGTTACCTTGTTTGTTTAGGATTGTAATTAGGTTTCTTGGTTATAAATATTCGAGCATTGAGTTGTAACAAGGCACGTTGAAGTTTAATCGAAAATACTCCGAGGAGTTTTCCAGCTTGCGAGCTTTTGGTTCTTGGTTGTTTGGCTGAGAATTGCAGACCTAGAGATCAGGATAATCACTCTTGATCTCGTGGTAGTTCTACCTAGATTAGCCTCTTCCCCTTTCGTGTTGAAGTTGCTGGTTTAGTTCGTTAATTCCATCAAGTTTCATCCCAATTTCATCCATCTTTTGATTCATCGCTGCGTGATTCTGAGTTAAGCTCATCGAGGGCTTATCATCCTTGGTTGTCAGTCAAGGCATGCAACTTTTTGTCCATTTCTATGTTGGAAGGTGCATCACGACCTGGAGGTCACAACCATGACCTGTGTAATTTCTCCCTTCCTTGCTCATATGTGATGCAAACATGCTCGGATTCTCCCGAAAATTTACCCTCAATTGATCATAGACGAGTTTAAGACCTGGAATATCATCACAAACACAAAGCAATCATAAAATACAACGAAGTGGGGGTAATTTAGCCACGAAAACCCTTCATTGCAACCTAACTCATGATCAATGTATAGAAACGCATATTGGCATAAACTAGCTTGCAATGTGGCCGAGCCACGCTGATTTAGCACAAAAATTCCTAGATAATAGAGATTAATAACACCGATTTAGGTGTTACCAAATGTCCCTACACTTTAGCTTTTGCTTGTCCAGCCAAGCATACAAATAAACCATGCAATCCGAGGCATCTAAATCCCGTCCACACTTGATATGAATCATCGAATGTGGAACACAAGTGACTAGGGGGGTCTCGACCATCCATAGTCACATTTAACCTACTCAGAACATCCTCGAAAGAATTGATCGAGTGAAAAGGGGTAGGCTCAAGGCATAAATCAAGACTCCTAGCTGTAGGTAATAAGGATGAATGCTCTTAACGATTCTATTCTACACTTTCATCATAGCCGCCTTTTTGGGTTTTCTTTCTTTGGGAGTGTAGCATCTTGATTATTTTTTCGGTTTCAAACCAATCAAGTAGGGGAGTCATTTTTTGCGCTCTTTCCCCCTACCTATACCTCGGCACATGGAGGACCACACCATGAGGATTGACTCACCTTCAAGCAGTAGCGATCTGAAACTAAGTGGGGCCCCATGTGAATCACCCTCTAATTGGCATGCATAGGAGTAGTTGTTTTTGCATTACTACTACTAAGGATTCTTTGAAAACATCCGAAAGATGCCTCACACGTAAACCTTTGAAGAACAAGCTACAAACCACTTTGTTTTGCGTAAAAATTTGGTTGCGAGAAAGCACGTCACCGAGCATCATCCAATCGACCTACAACTAAGAATCAAGCTTCACATTCAAACAAACCTACCACACATTCATTAGTGAACATCCAACATAAGGAACCATCAAGAAGTCAAATTAACTACTTCAATTCGAAACTACCCACGTACTACACTCTCCTCTACATTGGTTGAGATCGTAGGAAAGCAAGATTCATGATTCAAAGAAATTAATCGTATTGTAGCCAACTTGGATCCTCAAATTTGGGGGGGGGGGGGGGGGAATGAGCATGCATACAAGACTCCAAATGGTCAAATCATACTAAAACACCATCCACGATCACTCAAAAAGCACGCTTTCTCCCTCAATCATTCATAACATGCATAACACAAGAGATAGATTTTGAAAACATACATTCGAGACAAACATTCATGCAACACCCCCTCCCTCCACACACACTTTTAAGAACCACATTGTCCTCAATGTGACCACAAGTGAAGGATAGCGGAACTATGTTACCGAAATGACTATGTCAAAGTTTTTTTTTACATCATAGTCAGATGAAATAGTAGACATATATGTTTACAATGAGTAAAAACGACAGTCAATACTAATCGATCTGTCGGTGAAATAGCCGTTTAAGCCACTAAATGACTATGTCAAGTTGATTGTGGTAGATTTGAGGACTTGAACGACATGACTAGTGTAGGACACAAGAAATCCCAATTGGGATATTAGGGATTGAGAAGAGTAGAATTTAGGGATTTGGGGAGTTGGGGAAGAACAAGAGAGAGAATAGAGATTAGGGATTTGAGAATTTCTGATTATTATTGCTTAATTCCCAAAACTAATGAAATGAGTCCTTAAGTAGTGTAAACCGAAATAACACAAAATAACAAGTTTGCCACTCCTTCCCTCCCCCTCTTTGGCCGACCGGCCCTCTCCCTCTCTAACCCGGAGTCGGGTTTCCCACATCCCCTTCCCCTTCAGAATCGACATCGGCCTCGATGTCGAAGCCCGGGAATCTCTGGCGTAGCACCTCTGACTCCTCCCAAGTAGCATCGTCTGGTTCCACATGCTTCCACTGCACCAAGCTCTCTTCCACCAGCCGCCCACCTTTCTTTGTCCACCTGGTCTCTAATACCTTGAGAGGAACAAGCTCCAAGTCGCCATCTGCTGTCACCGGAGGAGCCGTCGACGTCACCCTGTCCGCCTGGCCCCGGTACTTCTTCAGCAAAGAAATGTGGAACACCGGTGTATGCGCGAACCTGCAGGCAACTGTAGTCGATAAGCAACTGGGTTGACCTTGTGGATGATCTCGTACGGCCCAAAGTACCGAGCTGCCAGCTTCTGGTATGCCCGCCTGAAAACCGAGGACTGCCGGTAGGGGTGCAACCTCAACAGAACCCAGTCACCCACCTCAAACTCCTCTTCCCGCTGCCCTGCATCCTCGGCCTGCTTCATCCTGTTGGAGGCTGCAGCCAAATTAGTCCTCAACTGCTCCAGAGCTTCATCTCTCGCGCTCAACCACCTGTCCACCGCATCCACCGAACTCGACCCACCTCTGTACTGTACCAACGTCGGGGGTGATCTCCCATACAAAGCCTCAAACGGACTCATCTTAATAGACCTATGAAATGTGGTGTTATACCACAATTCCGCCCAACGAAGCATGGCCAGCCACTGCCGCAGCTGCTGGTGGGTAAAGCACCTCAGATACTGCTCCAGGTACTTGTTAACTATCTCTGTCTGTCCATCGGTCTGCGGATGATAGGCCGAGCTCATGCGTAGTACAGTCCGTGCCATGGCGAAAACCTCCTGCCAAAACCTGCTCAAGAAAACCGGGTCGCGATCACTGACAATAGACCTGGGAAATCCATGATGTCGCACCACTCCCAAGACAAACTGCTCGGCCACCATCTTCGCCGTGTACGGATGCGCCAAGGGCATAAAATGAGCATATTTCGTGAGCCGATCCACTACCACGAACAATACCGTCTTCCCACCCGAGGGAGGCAACCCCACTATGAAGTCCATGCTGATGTCTTCCCATACCCGTTCCGGGACCGGCATCGGCTGCAGAAGGCCGGCGGGTCGCAGGTAAGACAGCTTCACTCTCTGGCATGTATCGCATGACTCCACATAGGCTCGCACCGCCTGTGCCATCCTGGGCCAGTAAAAATGGCCCTTAATCCTGCGAAGCGTCCTCTCGGCGCCTGAATGCCCTCCCAACGGAGAGTCATGGAAATCCTGAAGTACTGAGGTGACCAGGTTCGAGCCAGGAGGAAGAACTACTCGACCCTTGAACGTCACCAACCCTTGCCGAAATAAATAATGACCCGGGTTATCGCTCACTGCGATTTCCCGGCAATCCTGCAAATACTGACTGGTCTCCATGGATGCCCGTAACTCATCCCAAAACTGCGGCACGGGCCCGGTCACTGCGCCGAGAATCTCGCTGCCCGGCTTCCTCGATAGCCCATCCGCCACCACATTAGTGGGCCCGGGGCGGTAGTGAATCTCATAATCGTAGCCTAACAGCTTCGATACCCACTTGTGCTGATCCGGAGTAGACATCCGCTGCTCGAGGAGGTGCTTCAAGCTCTTGTGATCGGTGTAGATGTGAAACTTCTGCCCCAGAAGATACGGCCGCCAGGTCTGTACTGCAGTAATAATCGCCTGCATTTCCTTCTTATACGTAGACCAAGCCTCCTTGGAGGGGGCTAGCGTCTTGCTCATGAAGGCAATGGGGTGGCGGTCCTGAGATAACACCGCCCCTATCCCCCGGCCCGATGCATCCGCCTCGATCACAAATGGCTTGGAGAAATCCGGCATGGCGAGAGTCGGAGTGGTCGTCATAGCCTGCTTCAGCCGCTGAAACGCAGTCTCCGCTGCTGGTGACCAGACAAACCCCCATTTCTTCAGTAGATCCGTCAATGGCCGGCGATCATGTTGTACCCCTGCACAAACTTCCGGTAATACCCGGTCAGACCCAGGAAACCACGCAACTCAGTCACCGTCGTGGGAACCGGCCAGTCCACCATGGCCTGAATTTTGGACTGGTTCACCTTCACACCCTGTGGAGTCACCATATGACCCAAATACTCCACCTCTTGCACCCCGAACTCGCACTTGGATGCCTTGATATAGTACTGATTTGCCCGTAGAACCTCGAAGACTGCCTGCAAGTGAGCCAAGTGATCTGCCCAAGAAGGGCTGTAAATCAGGATATCATCGAAGAAAACCAGAACATACCGGCGCAGTAGGGGCCGAAAAATCTCATTCATGGCAGCCTGGAAGGTGGACGGTGCATTACACAACCCGAATGGCATCACCAAGTACTCATAGTGCCCGTTATGAGTGCGAAACGCCGTCTTATGAACATCCTCCTCCCGCATCCGGATCTGGTGATACCCTGCCCGCAGATCCAGTTTCGAAAAATAGCGGGATCCATGAAGCTCATCCAACATATCATCCACTGTCGGTATGGGAAAGCGATCCTTCACGGTGGCCTCATTCAGAGCCCGATAATCCGTGCAGAAGCGCCAGGTCCCATCCTTCTTCCTCACTAGCAACACAGGCGATGAGAACGGGCTGGTGCTCGGCCTGATCAAGCCCGTGAGCAGCATCTCAGAGACCTGCCTCTCAATCTCCTCCTTCTGCGAATGCCCATATCTGTACGGTCTCACATTCACCGCCTCCACTCCCTCTTTTAACTGAATCTGATGATCAACCAGTCGGTGAGGAGGTAAGGCAGTGGGAGTCTCGAATAAATCCGAGTAATGGCCAAGCAGCTCCTGAAGCTCCGGATGAAGCACCGGTGACGCCCCCTCCTCGATCGGCCAACACAAAATGGCCAATTCGGCCTCGCCCTCCGGACCACAGTCCTCGAACGAGATAGGGCCAGCAACGGTGGTGAGGCCCTGCAACTGCCAATCCTTATCCCTCCATTTGAAACGCATGGTCAACCTCCGCCAATCACTAGTCACAGGACCCAAGCTCTGTAGCCATGGAATCCCCAAAATGATATCGAATCCCTTGATCGGCAGTATATACAGATCAGTGCATATAGGTAGACCTTGAATTTCCAAAGATGTACCTCGAAGGACTCCTCCACAGCTCAGTGTAGAACCATTCGCCACCTTCACCACCATGGACTCGGTGGCCTCGGGCACCTGCTGCAGTTGCTTGGCGAATTCCTCGCCCACAAAGTTCAAGGACGCGCCACTGTCGACCAGGGTGATGGCCAAACGATCCTCGATTCGAGCTCGGAAACGGAGAGTCCCCGGGGAGGCCCAGCCCGCCACCGAGTGCAGCGAGAGGCAGGGCGGGGGCGCGCCTTGCGCGACAGGGGCGAACGCGGCAGTCGCCGCGGGGCGGGGCGCCGGGGGCGCGGCGCTCGGCGAGGAGCAGGCCGGCGGCGCGGGTGGGGCGGCGGCGCGCGGTGCAGCGGCGGCCGTCGAGGGCAGGCGCGCGGCGGCGGGGGTTGCCGGGTCGGGTCGCGCGGCCTCCTGCTCAGCGGGCAGCCACCTTCGACCGATGCTGCGTGCTCGGTCTCTCAAATCTGCCCATGACAGGTCCGAGAGTTTGGAAGAACTCATTGAGGAATCGGGGCTCTGATACCAGATGTAGGACACAAGAAATCCCAATTGGGATATTAGGGATTGAGAAGAGTAGAATTTAGGGATTTGGGGAGTTGGGGAAGAACAAGAGAGAGAATAGAGATTAGGGATTTGAGAATTTCTGATTATTATTGCTTAATTCCCAAAACTAATGAAATGAGTCCTTAAGTAGTGTAAACCGAAATAACACAAAATAACAAGTTTGCCACTCCTTCCCTCCCCCTCTTTGGCCGACCGGCCCTCTCCCTCTCTAACCCGGAGTCGGGTTTTCCACAACTAGCCAGAGATGAATAATGGAATGTATCTTGCTGCGATCTCCAATACTTGATATTCAAATTCAAAATCTTTCTATATGCTTATTACCCACTTACAGCCCCGAATCTAAGGGCAATTTGTGCCCTAAAACTATATAGATACAGCATAAATTCATGGACCTGTTGCCTGAAGTTACTAATACATATTAAGATGACCAATTGCTAATTCAAAGAATACAATGTTCGTATGCGGATAGGGTTAAACTTGAGCCACAAGTGCAGTAAATCGTAAGCATGAGGTCACTTTTAAGCATACACCAGCTCCTCTTCTCTAGTCTCGTACGGTGGTGGGAGGATACCTTCGACATTAGCAAAAAGATCTTCACGGCCTATCGGTGCTTCAGTAATAGTGGAATCCAGGACTCGGTCAGGAATTGCTACAAGTGCTTCCTCGAAAAAAGATTTAACTGTCTGCGAAATAGTCAAATGTGTGACCATTAAATGCAACAAACACAGATACACAAAGCCAGAGAATATACGGCTTGGAAAAGATTCATCTATTAAGGTTAGGCCAGCAGCCGTTTCATTTCATCTAAAACTAAGATGAGAAAAACCATTTAGCGTGGTTGGGACACTTGATAGATGCAATAAATAGATGCAGAAGGAATCTGGTCCATGGAACACTCTTCTCTGTTCCCACAACACCAATGCATTTGTAAACCAAGTTGACTTCCCCCCCAAGCCAATTCTCGTATTCATCTAGTTGTATGCCTAAGCTGTAGTTTTCGATATGGTAAGCAGAGATGATTACGAGGACGCCCAAAACACAAGATGAAGCTCAAGCTATATCATCCTACCGATATCAGATAGTGAGACACAATCAGCAATATGCTAAATCATCCAGTAAATCTCAAGCCAGGGAATTATGATTACTGGTTCCTAGTTACTCATACCCAAGTAGAATCGTAAGTATCAAAATACCTTGCAGCGCAGGAATGCAGCATCAGCTTTGCGTTTCCAGAGGCTGTTCCCAGGCTCAAAATAAAAGAATCCAAGTATTGGCTGCACCACATTTTGAATATATTAGCATGGAGGCCCAGAGAGAATATGTTCATGCGGAGAGCATAAAACAAGAAACTAAATTAGATACAAGAATGGTGATCCAGATTGAAGGGTTCAAACAGGAACAATGTATATTATTCTATAATCTTTTGGTACTTAATAACAACAATAGAATAAATTTGGTGCTAAGCAGTAACCCAAACGAGTGCTTTACCTTTATCACATCACGTACATTGGGCCTATCATTTCCATAGGTCCCAAGAATAGCATCACCATACACTTGATACTTCTCCAGGATCTAGAAAAAACCAATTTAAATTAAGTTTATCATTAGAATATACCCAAGCAGATACATGAAGAGGAACGAAGATAAGGGATTGCACCTGACGACGAGTGAGATTACTTGCTGGTGTCCCATAAATTGCAGTATCAACATGTCCCAGAACATTCCAAGGACTGAGGGAACATAATAGGTTTCAACCTAAGCATTAGCTTACACAAATACTAAGCCATGTGGACAGAAAAAACAGAAACTAGAAGGCCAGAGAAGGTAGAAAAGCTTAGTTGAGAGGACTAGGAACTCGGATTCACTTCATACTAATAGCTTCAAGACATGCTTTCTCTTAAGTGCCATAGAAGCACTATAAAGTTGCCATCCCTTGCAAACAAAATCTCCTTTTTACCTCTTCTGAAGTAACCTCAAGAATACGGTCCAAATTATTATAAAAAGAAATAGAAACCTCTGAAATTTTACAGTTCTCTGCATATCTGTATGCTTGCCCACAAAATCCTGTTCCCCATCCCTAAATAAGGTCATACTTTTCAATAGAGGTTGCTGGGAAATGAGTCACATTTCACCTTCTCCTGATAAAATATATAATAATAATAATAATGATTCTTCACCAACCTAAACATGTGAGCATGACCCAAGTCATTAAAAAGACAAATCTATCTGATGTCAATTAGCTTCACATATATAAGTGCACCACTAAGAAGTAACCAATGTAGATAACAACATCAAACTAAAAATCATACTTGTGATAAGCAGCACGCCCAACCATTACACCATGTGCTCCTGCCTTCAGTGCTGCATTTGCCTATCAGATAGGAATGATAAATAATACCCATCAGGAATCCCAATAATGAATGTCACTGGCAGTTCTCGGCAAGCACTTCAACAGCAAGCTAAGAACATTTTCCAAGTATAAATACAGATAACACAAACAAATAGGTATATTCACACCCATAACAAAACTAACCTCATCAACACAGTTAATGCCTCCATTAATTGTGAATTTCAAGTCAGGAAAATCGCGCAAAAGAGCGAAAAAGTACTCATATCTGCACAATAGACAGTAATCATCAATTCTGATGGCACACATAAAGTTGTCTCGCAATCATGCTAAAGTCATGATCAGTACGGTGTTCTTTTCACTCAATGTTTTGTCCAATGGTGATTTTTCATTGAGTTGCATCAGTAACATATTGGTTTCGTGCTCATATGTATCATATACAGAACTCAGCAGGGAAACTTAAGTTACAAAGACCATACTTCAGTGGAGGAATTTTTCTATTGTCAGCAGGGCTGATCCCATTGAGTAAAGCCTTCCGTGAATGTATTATAAAATGCCTAGTGGGAGACAGAGCTGAAACTTTATATATAAAATCACCTGGAATGAAAATTAAGCAACATAGCGAACAGCTCATCAGTCCAAGAAGATAAAATCAACAAACATGAGGTTCTTGACATAGGAACTAAGTTTAACACAAGCTCATGAACTTACAAAGCTCATTGTACGAATCATGATCATCTACACCAATTCTGCATTTAACACTGACAGGAACGTCAGTATTGGCAGCAATTACCGACATAGCCTCGCCAACAAACTTCCCTTATGAACACGAAAGTTTCAGTGAGAAAATTGAGATAAGTAAAAATTTCTTGTAAACTCTGGCAAGGAAGACAAGATTGTGGAAGATGCATACAGAAGAATGTGTCTTATGGTATTATAAGAGGAACCAGTAAGAATAATCAAACCTTTGGATCAAGCATAAGACGGACTCCAAAACACCCATGTCCAGCAACCCTTGGACTAGGACAACCGCAACTTGTACATTGATAAATAAAATTTTGGATCAGTTCAAGTAGAAAAGGAAACTTCATTACGAAGATGCACAAGGAAACAGGATTCTGCATACTTGAAATTAATCTCGTCATAGTTATATGCATTAGCAAGTTTTGTTGCTTTTGCAATGTTATCCAAATTATTTCCTCCAATCTGAAGTACAATGGGATGCTGCTCAGGTGGGAAAGCCAAAAATCTGTCCTGAACAACATAAGCAGAAACAGCGAGAATAAGCAACATTCAACCAAAGCATACCATTACAGAACATCTCATCAGTGAATGAATAACACTGACTCTGTTTTGCAAACAGGCGATGGGGAGTTTGAACCTAAAACATAGATACGTTTGTGTTCATTTAGAGCAAAAAAAACTTAAATTTGTCTCAAAAGCCAAAAGTTATTAAGTTCCTAGGCATCATTAAAGGAAAGCACATTCTTTTTTTCCCAATTGCATTGATAAAAAAAAATTCCCTTAGGACAACAATTCACCTACATACCAGATTTGCCTCTTGGTAGACAATCGTTTCGGCTGCCAGCATCTCTGTATAAAGCCATGCATGTTTTGATATGAGCCTAGCAAGAGTCCTGTAATGGACGTCTGTCCACTCCATCATTGGTGCAACACTAAACCCAAGAAATTGACCTTGTTCAGTAAGAGAGGATACAGTGGACCAAGGAGTTGAATACTTTAAGTGTATACCCACCTAAAAAGAGGAGGAGGATATTTTGCAACAACCATCTCAGCCTTGCAATGGTTTTGTTGCTTCTGATTATACGTGGACAGTCTTCTAATCTTCGATGCAGTCTTGAAATTTATATCTAGAGGTAATCTGCGAGGTTTTTTGAGAGGAATACAATGAAATGGAGTAAATGAAGATATCAAAGTATAACCCGAAAACTTCATCGCCTCTCGAGTCAGACAAAGCCTGCTCCTTTAGGTACCTATGCATTGAATAAGACTGCATCATACATAAGATCGTAGACAAACTACATGACTTGGACTAGCATAACTAGCAATGGCCAATTCAATGATCTTATATCTTCTCCCAAATCACAATCAATTGGGGCGAAGGAAAGACATTTCATCTATTTTCTCCTGAGCTAACGGTAATGGGCAACCATGAACTCAACTCATAAGTTACTCCACAACTTAAAAAGGCCAAGTCAAAATCGTTTGCCCAACAGTGATCCAGCACTGAGGATCTCTTTTTCAAAAGACGCAAACGATGTAAGAAATTGCTCGTAAACCAAGGAGAAAGAAGACCCGAAGGCAGTTCTGAACTTAAAAACTGCAAGCGGACGAGAACAACACAGCTGGACTGGCATTCAATCGAACAAAAAGCAAGCACAAAAAGCTTCCATGAGTTATCACAAAGTATCAGAGCTTTACAGCGACTAGGAGGAGAGGCTTGGAGAGAGACAGACCTAAAAGAGAGATATCTTTCACGGCGACCCTTCCCTTCCTCGGAAATTGAAGGAGCTTCCACCGGGAGGGAAGAGAATTGAAAGCTGCGTGAAACGAAACCTCTCCCACGAATCCTTTGCCTAGTCGATTTTATCCGCGAAAGAGAATTCATAGGGAGCGGCAGAAACCGCAAGTGTTGGGCTGGCCTCCGAATGGAAACTAAATCCCGGACCGGTCCAAGCCCATTACCATGTAACTATCTGTCTTTTTTAGAAGACGGACGTCAAGGCGTCCTAAATCGTATTAACAATAGAACGATCCATGAAGATTGTCATGGAATCATACAAGAGCCAGTTACACAAAGTTGGGTCGTACACATTAAAAGGATGTGTACCAAAAGTGGCATCGTGGCTTTTGCTTGTCAAATAATCGGCAGCAAAATTCCCCTCCCTATAAACATGGGATACAGAAACATCCCAATCCAAATCAAAAAACTTTCCGATTCGAGCAGCAATAAGACCGTGGCGATGGTCTTGGTCCAGGTGGTTCTTCATGATGGTGACTACTATAGATGAATCCAGCTTGAGTTCCACCTTGCGGAATTCCATTTCCCACGCTCGATGAAGGCCAATCTCAGCTCCCTTCAGCTCAGCCATGGTGATTGTTCAGTGTGCCAGGTTGCACACAAAGGCCTCCAGGCAGCGCCCAAACTTGTCGCGAATTAACCCCCCTACAGCATCATTGCCTGACTCGGATCGAACCGACCCATCAGTCTGGATTTGTACCCAGCCCTCACGAGGGTATGCTCAGTATGCTCCTTTCGTCATTGATTCTTTCTTGTTCATACACACGAACCCACGAGCAGATTCTGCTAATGAGGACGATTTCATAGTATCTTTTTCCATCCATCACCTCTTCGTTTCTCTGCTTCCAGATCAGCCAGCAAGCAATGCCAAATATGACCCCCCCCCCCCCCCATTCTCTTCTCTGAGATTGTCCATCATCCATTGATTGAAGTTCCTCAAATCCTGTGGCTGATGGTCAATCTTCAGGAATCGCCTTACTCCTTCTGTCTTCCTGCAATGTCCGAGAATATGTTCAGTAGTTTCAATCTCACCATCACAAGCTTTGCAGTTTGCGTCCGATGTCATGTTTCTGGTTGCTCTTTCATGGTTGGTGAGAAGCCTGTTGTGCGGACGTGCCAGAGGAAATGTTTCACTCTGCTTGGTCCCTTCCATTACCAGAGCTCTTTCCATCCCAGTTTAGGATCGTTCCCAGTCTCATTGGCAGCGAGGAGGTAGGCTGACTTGAACCTGAACCTGAACCTGCCATCCCTTTCCAGTCCCCAAATCGTCGTGTCCTCTCCCAAATCTCGAGCTAGTGTCTCCATTTCTGCAATACAGCAAAGGATATCATTATGAAAGAAAGATTCCAGGCGTCTCCAGTCCCACTCACCTTTGTCATCAACCATTTCAGCCACAGTCATTGATTGCTCCTCCTCTGTCAACGCTATCAGGCAGTGTTCTCCCAAGACAGTTTCATGATCGATCCAAAGATGATTCCAGAAATCGGTTGTTCTGCCATCTCTAATGCTCCACACTGTGGCTTGTTGCATCAGTAGGAACGCTTTATGAATGCCCCTCCATAAACTGGAGTGATTGTTGCTCTTCATTCCCACATTCCTCCCTTCCCGTTGGTGGAAATACTTCCCCTGCATCACTCTCACCCATAGCTCATCCTTGTTGTTGAGGATCCTCCATGCCAGTTTCACCATGTAGGCAAGGTTGAGGCTCTGAGCTGACCGCAAACCAAGCCCTCCTTGTTGTTTTGGTCTACAAAACTTTTCCCAGGAAACCAGATGGACCTTCCTCTTTCCTTCCTGTAATCCCCAAACAAACCATCGAATCATGTGATCAATCTCATCACAGATAGAAGCAGGTAACATGGTCGTTTGCATAGCATAGGTTGGGAGCGTATTTAAAACAGATAAGGCAAGAGTAACTCTCCCAGCGAGGGAGAGGGTCTTAGCCTTCCACATGGTCGTTTGCAACTAACTGTCTAGCTTTTAGAGATGGAGGGATAAGGGCATAAGGCAAAAAAGTAAAAAATAAAAACACGATGGGAAATATGCCGCATCTCCACGATCTTCAATTTTCCGATTTTGTAGCTGTCGTCGAGGATTATGGGTTTCAGACAATCGTGATTCGTGAGTGTCCCTCGTGTAGAGGGCCCGGATAGGGTGAGTAAACTGTGCTTAATATTAGTAACCAAGTAGTTTGCAAATAATAGTTGGCAATTAAAGATATTTTATTGGGTTAATATCTTATTTTGACTCTAATTATACTCTAATAGTCTACTTTGGCCCGTGATTTAGGGATGACAATGGTTCGGGTTGGGCCGGGTTTTATCAAACCCAAATCCATGGGTTTATCTGTGGAAAAAATCTGGGGTAAAACCCACTGGATTTGAAAAACTCAAACCCAACCCGTCGGGTATCCGCGGGTTGATGGGTACACATGGGTTTTTGTCGTAAAAAATTTATAGTAACAAGTTTCTATAAATAAAAAAAAAGTCAAATATCAATATTTCAATACAAATTATCCATATACAAAACACCATTCTAAAATATTCAAGCAAATCACAAATTAACCATACAAATTGCTCAATACCAATCTAGAAAATTTAAGCAAATCACAAATTATCCATAAACAACATGATTAATTGAAATCTTCTTCCTCCTTGTCAATTAAGTTTCTTCACTCTCCACTCGATAATATCAACTCTACGCAATTAGAAAGAAAAAATTAGACATGTCTTCACAAACATAAAGAAGATTAGTTGTTTAAAGTATTAAATATACCGGAAAAATTAGTTATATGGGTGTGGGCGGGTACCCATGGGGCGGGTTTACCTAAACTCAAATCCAACCCAACCCGGTGAATAGTAAATGAGTTTAAACCCGAATTCGGCCCAAAACCCCGTCAAAACGGGTTGGGACGGGTAGGATACCCGTGAGTTCGGGTTTTGTTGTCATCTTTACCATGATTTTAGAAATTGCTATTCTGGCCTCAACTATATACCATATAGTCTAGTTTGGTCCGATACGTGGGTTGACCATTAAGTTGGACGGTCAACGAAACATGTCATTGCCTCGTAAGCCAAAAATTATTAAAAAATTCGAATTCAAATTATATTTTGGAATTTTTGGAATTATTACGTTTAACAAAAATAATCCATAAAAATAACAAAAATAATCTACAAAATATATAAAAGCAAAACATGGGTTGAAATTCTCCCATTTAAAATTTCGTATCCTGAGAGTGATTCTAGAAAGGTCATTTTTGTCATTGCACCTGGTTCATGTTTATATATTAAAAATGTTATCATTGGAGTTCGAACCTTGGTCACTTAAATGGCGAAAGAGCATTATATTTATAACCAACTAAATTACATTTTATTTATTGTTATTTCTTTGATGAAACTCTAGAAATATGTTTGGTGATGATGTTTCTATATTTATATTTTATCTTAAGTTATTTATATTTCTACATAATATATAAAGGCAAAACATGGGTTGAAATTTCAGGGATTAGGATTTCTAGGCCTGTAAGAGTTTCACGAAAGGGTAATTTGGACAATTTACCTGTCATTTTAATGAAACTTTGCGTTTTGATCTCTTCCCAGACTTAGTATATTTTGTGACATCCCTCTCCCCGCGTAGCTTTCCTTCTCATGTCCAACTCGTTGGTTTAGATCTCACGATCAACGTGGTCTAGCAGACTCGCGGCGAACGTGGTCTAGATCTCACGACCAACAAGGTCTACCAAACTCTACACGACAATGCCCACTTGTGACCCTCATGGTCTGATTTCACGGCCAAAGCCTTCTTGATCTCAAACCAGCGGGGTCTAATAGACTCACGACGAACGTGGTCTAGCAGACTTAGCTTCCTCACGATGAAAATAGTACCCTCTTAGATATTTTGCAATTTGGGCTTAAAATCTTGTAACATAAGGCCAAGTTTAAATATAATTAATTGTTATAATTGATCCGGCCTTATAAAGACAAATAAATGTCTTGTGAATAATTAATGTGATACAAAATTATTTTTTAGCTGTAAACAGTTGCTCATGAGGCCGATCTCAGTCTATGGCGCTTTATTATGGTGGATGATCATGTCTGTGGGCAATTACTCACTTCTATGACTTTTTCAGTAACTTCAAAAGCTGGAAGGGTAATTAGTAGACAATGAACATTTGTATTTGGAGAGACAGATGTGCTGCAAGATTCGGCAACCAAGTAAAGGGAATGGCAGAAGTGGTTTAGCACGTCAAAAAAGATGTTAGGTTTATCTGTAATAGCAATGAAACTTATATGTTTTCTAAGTTCTCAAATTACTGTACTTAGGGTTGGGAAAACAGACCAGGCCGTTAGAAAAACCGTGGTCCAAACCGTATCGTACAGTTTGGTCCGGACCGTAGACCGTTAAGTATGGTCTGGTCTGGTCTGGTCCATGGTCTGTATTATTTTATGTTTTGATCTCTTGGTCTGGTCTGGTCTAGACCGCGGTTTACCGGACCCAACCGTGGACCCAACCGACTTGTCAATAAGTGCTAACAGCCCATTTGACCACTCTCCCAACTCCCACAACGACACCCAAGTCTCAACCTTAATTTTGTGAATCTCATATCTCCTTCATTCACAGCCACATTTAACCAGAGAGTAGAGATAATCATGTGTCAATATGGCATTATGTTAATGTTTTATGACGTTATGGTGCAAGTTGGGATGCTTTTACTTTAAATCTTTGTTATCTACTAAGAATTAGGGTACTAAAATTATTCATGCACGTTAGGATTAATGTTTTAAGGCAAATAAAAATTATTTTTCTTGGTTATTGGTTCAATTTTTTGTATGGTTGACTAAACAAATTGTTCATTTTTCGTTGAGTGTGGTCTATCTAGACCTGACCAGACCGAACCAAATCGCACAGGCGTGGTCTGGACCAGACCGTATAGTCTGTGGTCTGGTCTGTGGTCTATACTTCAGCCTCTCGATCTGGACCATAGACCGCACCGTTTCCCAGCCCTAACGGTACTTGTGCATGGCTTAGTATGCAGTTTGTAATCACTATAGATATATTATCATAGTTTACTTAGTGACAAGGGGTGTTTGCCATATTAACTGTTGTTTTTTTATGAAATATAATTCAACAATTCATTAAAAGAAAGTAAGTCACAAGACTTAAAAACTTTAACTGAGCTGACAAAGAGTAGCTCAAGTGTTTAATGAATAAGATTTGGCACTGTATACTTATTGCCCACTATTTTGAAAAATAACATCCAAAATAAGATTCATTGTACCATTAAGTATGAAAATGCATATAATTGGATAAAACTAAAAAAGTTATATTTTCTTACCCTAATTTGGCTACCCACTTAGAAAAACAATAATGTATCAAATTAACCAATAATCATATATATCACATCTGTTAAAAAAAAACTAATCGGCTTTTATATTATTTTGAATAAAGACATTGTAGATTCTTGGTTTTTAGTGAATTTTCACTAAAATACTTGAATGGAACTAATGTTGATGTCCATCCATTATTTGTCTTTTTTTTTGTCATAAATATCATGCAGATAAGTTGGATAATGACGGGTACCACGAACACTACGGTATATTGGCTGACTAAAAACGCAACAAGTTATATGAAATCGTAAAGACCATTATGTAGACCATGATAACGTAGGGGACGACGTGCAACTAAATGGGTAGCCCAAGTTGCTTCTCGTGGTGCAAAACCGAAATGAACTAATGATAATTGGCGTAGAAGAGTGTGCAACTCCCGCAAGATCGCTCCTCCTTTAGCATCATAAGTCGCATTAGACACCAACTGCAATAGCACCATCTGAGCATCACCTGTGATCTGAATTTACCGGCTTATATTTTATCCCTTATTTCAAATGAATAAATCATCATGATAGTAATAATTAGATTTGAAATAGAAAGTTAAGATAAATCATCAAAATTACTAGCAAGAGGTCAATTGATAAATTAAATATTCACATTCTTTTATTGTTTAGTATATTACTAAGGCAATAAAAATATTTAACCTTCTTAATATTAATAGTATACGATAGTAATATTGTTAAAATTTTGCTTTTATCCAGCCAACGGTCAAGATGATTAGTTAATAGTAGAGTATGATCACCTTTTTTAGGGGATCACATCACGTGGTTTCTATTTTCTTTTTAATTATTCTGTTTTTTAATTGAACGTTAGCAATTGATAATATCGAGTTTTCCTTTTTTACTCGCTTTCAACTATCTAGATTATTCTAATGGCTACAGTGAGTTTAAACTATGATGGAAAAGTCAATGATAGGGTCTTTTATGCTGAAATCGTGGTTTAGTAATAGTTCAACCATTTCATATCGCTAAATGCCGCCTACTAGTTTAGCCTACGATAAGAGGTTTTTCTGGTCGAACCGCCGGTGCGGTACGGTTTTTCATTCCTTTGTTTAAACATAAAGAAAAAACGGGCGACCCTGGATTCGTATCCATGGTTCACTCCAGCCATTCAAAGAGGTTAAATCAAATTAGGGATGACAAGAAATCGGCTCGCCTTCAGATAGTGCATATCCATTCCTACTCGAAAATAGTTCGGGTTTTACATATACCTATACCCATACATAATCTAGTAGAATATCATAATCATGCATGCCCATACCCCGTCGGATTTTGAGATCTACAATTATCCACGAATAATAATGTTTCTTTATAATTTCAACCAACATGTTATCAAGTACATGTATACTGATAGTACATAAGTGAAAATATACAAGAATTAATTATTAGAACGATGAAAATTAGTTAAAAGCCATACAATTCCATGAAAATCTTAAAAATGCAGGATAAATCTCCAATATCAATATGTTGAGAAAAATAAAGATCATTTACAAATAAAATACATATGCAATTGAGCGAGTTCGGGTTTGAGTTGGATAATGAAGAACCATGCATATCATATACAATATTCGGGTTCGAATTTTATTCGCGTCTTACCCACCCTTCCCGATTATGTAGAATTGGAATAGGTATTTACGGATATGGTTATTTTTGTCCAAAGCGAAATTGTAACAAATTAGAATGGTGTTTTAATTGTTTAAGAAATAAAATTTTGATGCCTAAAATGACATGTATATGCAAATCTGGTGATCAAATTGGTACCTGGCCGTTCGAGTGGTGGTCATGTAAGGACCAAACTTACCACACTTATCAACTTCCTTTCGCTTCCGCCCTGGGAGCTTCTTCGCCAATTCGCCATGGCCACTCTGAGCTTCAACCCCACCAGAATTCCTCGAACCCCCAAAACGAAAACAGCCTCTTTTCGGAAACCAACTTCCAGAGTGTCCTTCTCCATCCAGCCAAATGCCTCAAGCGGCCGAAAACTTGCCCACGGGTTCCCCAAGCTCCGGGTTTCGACGCAGGAGGAAGCAGGGGTGGAGGAGTACGAGGAAGACGACCCGACCGCGGAGATGAGCTACCTGGACCCGGAAACCGACCCGGATAGCATCTTGGAGTGGGAGCTGGATTTCTGTTCAAGGCCGATGCTGGACATCCGAGGGAAGAAAGTGTGGGAGCTGGTTGTGTGTGACGAGTCCTTGGCGCTGCAGTTCACCAAGTACTTCCCCAATAATGCGATCAACAGCATCACCCTGAGAGACGCTCTTGGTTCCATCTCTGAGGATCTGGGTGTCCCTTTGCCCCAGAAGATACGCTTCTTCAGGTGATTCGTAGGGTTTTTACATCCAATGTTCTTGCGCTGTCGGTTGATTGGTCTTTTTTTTTCTATATAATTTTTCTGGGGATTTTCATTTCAGGTCGCAGATGCAGACTATCATAACCAAGGCGTGCCGAGAGCTGGGGATAAAGCCTATTCCGAGCAAACGGGTACGTGCTTCCTCAAGCCAAGCATCTTTCAACCATAGTTGAGACAGATCTATCAAGACAATTGTTTTAATCAATCCACAAGGTTCATCTCAGAGACGATGACAAAAGCATTGCTTGACTCAACTGTGTTGAGACTGAAACCATGTCCATGTTGAATCACTACTTTAGGAGTTCCTCACTCTTCCCTTTCATGGCTACCTCCATTGTGCAGTGTCTATCACTACAGCTGTGGCTGGGAGAACGATACGAGACGGTATACAAACGCCACCCTGGGTTTCAGAAGGGATCCAAACCCCTCCTTGCATTAGACAATCCATTCCCAATAGACCTCCCAGAGAATCTCTACGGAGATAAGTGGGCTTTCGTCCAGTTACCATTTTCAGGTACACACAGCAGCCGAGCAGCTGCATTTCCAAGGCTTCCTTTTGCCACAGTGATCCGTTTGCTAAATCTCTCTGTGCTCCACAGCTATCCGAGAAGAAATCGCATCAATGGATACAAGATTTATGTTCGGTTCGAGTCTAGATCTGGATCTCCTTGGCATTGCAGTGGATGACGAAACACTAATTCCAGGGCTGTCTGTTGCTTCATCACGAGCCAAACCATTGGCAGGTAGGTGGTCTTTCACTATGATGTTGCTACCAACAGTGGATCCAGATTGCCTTCCCCTGCCTGCAGTAATTACTTGCTCTTTGAAGTGATGTGTCTTCCCCACTCTTGCAGCTTGGATGAATGGACTGGAAGTTTGCGCAGTCGAATCGGACACAAGCAAAGGCTGCTTGATCCTCTCTGTTGGAGTCTCCACTCGCTACATCTACGCCACCTACAACAAAAGTCCTGTGACAACAGCTGAAGCTGAATCGTGGGAGGCTGCAAAAAAGACATGCGGAGGTCTCCATTTCCTTGCTGTACAAGAAGACTTGGATTCAGATGACTGTGTCGGATTCTGGCTGTTGTTAGACTTGCCACCACCACCTGTCTGATTTTGCAGCCTTCAGATCCTGACTTCTGTTTCTCAAAATGCCACAATCTCAACATTTTTGGAAACAAAAAAAATGAAATGCAGAGTCTGATTTTGATGCTGACGAAAATTGTACCAACTGTGATAGTCTTGCTTAGGAAAGAGTTGTTTGTGAGATGTGAGCCCTTAAGATCAATTCAATTAACAAGTCAAGTGCCAAGCAGTGGCATATAATATGATGCCTAACTACTAAATACAAATTACACGCTAAAGGTTATTACTACAAACATTGGATTCCTAAATGGGGTTTAGGCGTTTCGGTTCCAATACAGGCAGTAATTACTACAAAGGAAAATCAGTCATCGAGATCATATCTAGCTTCATATGGACATGGTAACAATTGATGAAGAGCCTGGAGCCTGAGATTTGGCAGGCACCCAGAAGAAAATCGACTTGATGATCTGGCCAATGGAGGTAGTATCTTCAGCAATAATAAGAGCTTCTCATTTCCCGTCTTGGACCACCAAGAACTTGTGCTGAAGGGAGTTTGATGCTCCATATTCACCTCTTTTGCTTTTGTGGAACAAATCTAACAGCCTGCTTTCCGAGCTCAACAGTGAGGACTCTGCCATCATCCAAGGTCACAGATAACTTTGATGTTCCTTCAATTACGTCAGAAACTGCTCCCTTGTTCCTGGATTCACGGGACATCAAACTAAATGAGGCGATCTCCAATGGAGTCGAACCAACTCTGTTGAAAAAAGCTAATATGCTTGCTAAAATTATAGGGTAAATGACACATTTGGTCACTGAGATTATTAAATTGTGTCATGTTTAGTCACTAGAAAAAATTAATATCAATTTTGGTCACTCGAATTACCGAAACTGGTCAAATTTAGTCACTCTCCCGTCAGTTTCCGTCCAACTCCATTAATGTAGTTGGACGGCAACTTTTGGGAGAGTGACTAAATGTGACATGTTTCAGTAATCCGAGTGACTAAATGTGACATTTTTCAATAATTCGAGTGACCGGAGTTGGATAGAGGCTACAGAAGAGTGACCAAATGTGACCTGTTTCAGTAATTCGAGTGACCAAAATTGATATTAAATTTTTCTAATGACTAAATATGACACGATTTAGTAATCTCAGTGACCAAATGTGTCATTTACCCTAAAATTATATGTGGTGCACGAAGGCAGCCACATAACTAAGGTACCTCCAACCACATCATTCATCTCAATCCCAAGCTTGAAACACACAGCAAGATGAGTCTCCATGGTTGCAGAAGCTAAATCGAAGACAGGAAATGACCCAAGTATTGTAATGACCAATATATGCATTATGCAGCACTTCTACTGTTAATTCCACACCTTCCAGTACCCAAGAGATGTGGGAGACTGATGAGGGGACTCACCAGGAGCTTTCGGATGGCTGGTGGACTTCAATTCGCTTCCCAATTGCATCTTTCCCCAATTTTTTCAGTATCCAGCTAGCTTCTAACATCTCGCTGTCTTGTACAACAGTTTCATCTTCATTCAATGGCGCCTTCTCTGCAAAGGCTGATGATCTCTTCCTTTTTGATCTCTGCCCTCTTATGGCAGTCTTTTCTTCAGGTGGAGCATTTTGAGAGCTTTGATTCTCCAGGCTAGGTTTCTTAATCTTTAACTTCAGAGAGAACTTTGAATCTTTGGCCAAAGAAAGGGATGCAGTTGTACCACCACAATCATCATTGGTTTCAGTATTTGTATCTGGCGTTGCAGATTCTTCCCCCTGCGGTGCCTTGTCACTTCTTAATACTGGAACTTCGCTTACACGTCCGAGTGTAGCTGTGGCAGTACCACTGCTTCTGGCCACTGACGAAGCACTCGTATGTGTGCTATTATCTTGCTCGAGTTTTGGATTCCCTTCAGATGTTTCTTTCACTTTCCCAAGTTTAATCAAACTACTCCCTCTTCGAGCAAACTTCAGAAGCCTTACTTGGCCAGATTGATCAAATCTGCCTCCTATGCATTGTAAAGATGAAAGGCATTAGTATACACAACTATTAGTTCTTCATAACTGCCAGCGTAGCCTTGTTGGAGCACATGTAAAGCACTGAATTAATCTCAAACTGAAAGAGAATCCATTATATTACCAATTCCAGGTTTAGCAGCCCCGCTATCTTTGTCCACCAGATTGTCGCCAATTTTAGGATTGCCAGTATCTTCACGTCCTAATTAATATCAAAAAGATTAGGCAGTGGCAAAGTTTCACATTATCATATTCATGCAAATAAAAATGTCCATCAAAACATAGACATACCATTGGAATGTGGCAAATCTTGCTCTTTTTGGCAACTTGAAACATCAGATTTTGGGGAATTAGTAACATTTATCTTTCGTGCACCTAGATTTATTACTAGCTTCTTGGTTTTCACAGATATCATCTTGTTGCCATGCTTATCTTTATCATCTCCACTATCAATATCAGGAGGCTTGTTGCTCTTAATCTTAACAATCCTCGTCCCCTTATCACCATCACTAACCATCACCTCATCAACGGACTTCTGTTTTAGATCCCCTGGCCGCCCAACAGAGTTTGTTGGATTAGAGTGATTTACAGCAGCAGCAGCAGGAGAAGGAAGTCCAACCAATCCTGCATTCTTTTGAGAATGAGACACGTAGTCCTTTCTCTCCTCAGAACTGTGTCCATGAGATCGTTTCTCACGTTGATCCACATCTGCTTCTGTCTTACTCATTAAGTTCACATCAGAGCTCTTCTTGTTGCTCGATTTTTTATTAAAATACTTCTTTCCATAATCTTTGGTCTTCTTTGGTGACTTATCCATGACACCTTTGAGTGAAAACTTCAAAGAACGCCCAAACTCATTCTTTGAAGTCATGTGTCCATTACCTTCGTCATCAGAGGAAGGTGATATAGAGAAAATATCTTCTTGAGTTGGCAATCCTGCAGCAGCCCTCAAGCTGACAATCAAATCATGATCAGCTTTATCCCGTCTTCTCCACATCTCTTGAACAGCATCCTCAAGATCCTTAACCTGAACACAGAGTGGAGTTCAGTGGAAATATAGGAATCATGGACTACAGGAATACCAAAGGTAAAAAAATATTACTCGTAGAAAGCAAACCTGATAGCACTCTCCACGACATGTTGCACATACATACTGGAGATTACCATCAACCTGATACTTCATATATTTCTCATCACTGCAAAAGGTATCTTTCATATGTAAACTATTCATCCGTATCAAAGGAATAAAAGAAGCTGTGAGTAGGACCTCAAAAAGCAATTTATCAACCAGTTACTCCCAAGAAAAGGAAAACATAAACGCAAAGAACTGTTGAAATTAAACTCCCCATGAACCACAGAAACAAACCTTATGCCATCACAATGACAGTGCACCCAACGTTGGCAAATATCACAACAGACCATTGGTGTTGATTCTGAATCTCTATAAACCTACAGGATAAAGCACATAAGGGACTCAACTCAAAATCTTGAGCACCAGTTGCAGATTCTAAAATTATGTAGAAGAATAAGAGTAATTTCAGTAAACCTGCATGTAAATGGACCTAAACTCGAAAGCAAATGAAATTTTATCCCAAGAAAGAGCTGCTAGAGTTCCGAATTCAGCAATATCAAACAAACTACGAATCTAAGGTTGCTAAGAAAGTAGTACCTTTAAACAAACTGGGCAGTAATTCCCCTTCACAAACAATCGTCCACAAGCATCACAGCATGTGAACCCAAGAAACCACCTGAAAGATTTCAAGGGAGATTAAAACAGAAGGCAAGGATAGACAGGAAAAACAGGAACACAAACATACAGCTATGAGCTACCAGGAACAACTCCAATATTCTCTGGGTATGGGCTTCTCACTTTTTTTGTTTTTATCAGATGCCCAAACGGACATTTTTTATGAAAAACAAATTAAGTAAATGCTCAGCTGAACTTGTGCATCCTCAAACCAGTACTCAGGAACATGATCTTCCCAAAAACATCCACCATAATGTGTCAAAAATCAGTTATGGAGACTAGAGATAGGTAACACTGCTCTAGGACTCCCTAAGCTGGTTATTGTTGAGAATTGATAGCATAGGCATAACTTATTTACTCCAAGAAGCAGCAGTCATTGAAGGCACATATAAAGCCCATAAATTAGCACTATTTTTATTTCCTTCAAAGAAGGGAATGTTGCCCCCGAGAATTGGCCAAAGGATGAGATGGGCATCGGTCACATATCTAATATCTTTCTGACATGCAATGTTAAAATTCCTAAATTAGACGTTTCAAAGCAACATCTGTGTGGAATGTATGTCATAGGAAAGGGAGCACGTCGAAAGCCAACCTGATACAAAACTATATTATCATATTGGCAAAGACCTTTGTTGACTACAATCCTCAAAAATACCATGATTCACTTGGGAAAAAAACAATCATTTACCATCAATCAGCTCGTCACTTGGCATAATTGTGCACAAAAGAAAGCAGTACTTGACCCACAGATTACCTCACACTTAAACCATTTCCAGGGACGGTAGATGCACAACTGTGGCACCTTGTATGTTTGGAGCACAAATATGGTCCTGAGCTGACATTCTGCATGGTTAAGAAATACAAATTACTAATTTATACTGCTACTGCAATCTGCACGACATAAAGCAACTAGGGGAATACCTTGTGTGGAGGATGCTGGCAGTAACAATGGTAAGCACCATCACACCTTTTGCAGAACATAAACTTATTTGGATCTCCAGTTCTTCGGCATATCTGAGTGACATAGATAAGTATTAATGCACAAGACCAAACTTCTTTTGGATAAATGAAATAGCTTATTTCAACAGTAGTCAAATGCCTTCAAACCTTTAAACATCTACCAAATTTAATCCGACTCTCTCTCTCTCCCTGTCTACCAAATTGTTTCACTTAAATGTTCAATTCATTAAGATAATTTTTTTCATAGAAATACAGTCAGTTCCTGTCACTAAAATCAACTGTTCTTTCCTTTATATGTTCATTAACCATCTAAATTCTTTCCTTTGCCTAAACCGTCAATAGAAAAACACTAAAAAATAGTACACGTTATTTGGCGTTAGCTAGCAGCTCTTTCTGCGGCATGTTTTGCCTAATTGAGCACCTTGCAGCTTAGAACACCCCGGGGAGTTCCAATAATTATGCTTCTGACGAAGTGATATTTGAACCAAGCTTTTGGACAGATGCAGGGGTACCATAGAAAGGAATAAATAATCACTTCCCTACATACTTGACACTCTGGGTTTGCTGTAAGAACATAAACATGATTGCACCATGGAACCAACTAGTAAAAGGAAGCAGTACCTCACACGTCCGGCAAGATGGACAGGACCATGAACTCCAGTGAAATAAATCTGCAAATTGCAGATCAGAACATGCAGAAGTTGGAACCTGAGGAACAGAATTGAAGTTACTGACTAGTACCTCTGTGTTGTGCCCAGGCTTTCAAACAGCCCCTATGATACTTCTTGCCACAACTTCTGCAAGAAAGCATCTTTTTTGCTCTGTCGCTACCATCTGTTTCACCTGAGAAGCACATTCGACACATCACCTTTGAGGTTGTGTTGGTAAGTACTTGCTCATCTGCATTGGTGTCTCTTGAGACCGCCTGGGAGATTTTAAGGAAAATCAATTAACATAACTAAACAGAAGGTTGTCAAAACAGTGACCTTTGCTAAGTTAGACAGCTCGATGATATAACAGCCACATTGTCCCCATCTCCGGAATTAGTTTAAGCATTGTAATGATGACAGATCTCACAAAAAGATATCACGAAGCCTATAACCAACCCACTATTGCCACTAAACAAACACGCAAGACTCGCCACTAATTCAAAATCATAGCGTTCAGCGATAACAAATGCGAATTCACGGAAACCACTTAAGAGGCTAGAAATCTAGACCGTATTCAACATACACTCAGCAAGACCGCAAAAGCAGCACTCTTGGCATGTAGCAAAAGCATAAGCGGCAGATGGAGCAGCAGCAATTCACACCGAAATAACTCACCGCAGCGTCACCAGACTCGAATCTTCGAGCGAAATCCTCAGCAGCAACCACAGTAGCAGCAGCCTTCTTCTGAAGCGCCACACGCTTGGTGTGTGCAGAAGCGGACAAAGCCGCGGAATCCTCTCCACCAAGATCAGCATCCCCATCGACTTCCCCAACAACAACCGGCCGAGGAGCTAGAATGGGAACCGAAACCGGAATGGAAGCAGCAGAAGCAGGGATAGGAGGTGGGGGAGCAGGCACAATCTTAGGAACCAAAACCTGAACGGTAGCCCCGTTGGAAGCCCTAATTCGCGAGGGATCCCTCCATAGCTCCTCGATTCTGGAAACGTCGAGCAGGAAATCGGACTTTGATGCCTCCCCGTGCAGATCCCGCGGAAACCCTAGCTTGCAGGAGCATATTCGAAGGCTGCAAAACAACAACAAGAGAGAGAAACAACGGAGGGAGCGCAGAATGAGATTAGGGGATAGAGAAACAAAAGAGGAAGGACAGGAAGTCTTCCGGAGAGTGTCAACAGGAGTAATACAACAAAGAGACTGACCATGTAATTGGGCAAGCTACGTGAAAGGCCATAGAGCCAGTGAGTAGTGAGAAGGCGGGGGCAAAAAAAAATTTTGGGGGGGCAGAAAAATCGTTTTCTTTTTTTGTCGACGCGAGTTTAGTTGAGTGATGAGTCGTGGAGGGAGCGAGGGAGAGAGAAAGAACGGTAGGCAGAAGTCAGAACGCTGAGACGGGGTGGGTGGAGATTAGGGATGGCAATAGGTTGGATCGGGTTTGGTTGGGTCGGGTTTGGTCAAATTCAAACTCATGGGTTTATCCATGAGAAAACACGGATAAAATTTATTGGGTTTGGAAAATTCAAACTCAACCAGTAGTGGATCCAGGAATTCTAAATAGTGGTGTCTTCTCAATAAATTAAATTAAATTAAATAATTCTTAAATATGAAAATATCTCACTAGTAAAAGTTACATTAAAAGTTCAAACGTGTTTCATAAAATACATTCGGTGTCTATATTGCTCAACAAATATCTCTCGGCATATCCTACCAGACAAGGGTATTCCGAAATTGGGTTTAATCGGTTTTGAAAATAATTTGTGATAAGAATGACATTTTACTATTATAACTTAAATATTATTTGTACCAATACGCAAACTACTATTGGAGATTGAATAATCCTTTTTCCAAATTTTAAGGGTGTTCCACTACCACTTAAACATTTTTTTTTGTTCATACGCAAACTACTATCGGAGGTTGAATAATCGTGTTTCCAAATTTTAGGGGTGTCCACTGAACTCAACCCAACCCGCTGGGTATCCGCAGGTTCATGGGTACCTATGGGTTTTTGTCGTAAAAAATAATAAGTTCCAATCAAAATAAAAGTCAACTATTAATCTCTCGATACAAATTATCCATATATAAAACACCATTCTGGAAAATTCAAGCAAATCACAAATTAACCATACAAATTGTTCAACACCAATATGTAAAACTCAAGAAAATTGAAGCAGTCATGCAGATTGCTGCGTTAATCGGGAAGCCAGTTAGGATGGACAGAGCAACGGAGCTGGGAGCAAGAGCAAAGTTTGCTAGAGTTTGAGTGGAAGTTGACCTTACCCTGCCGCTGCTAGGGCAATATAAAGTTGAAGGAGTCAAATACCTCATTGTGGGAAGTACGGAAAACAGACAGATATGTGTGACTGCACGAAATCATCACCAATGGGAGAGGAGGAAGAGGTAATGGAGGCTCCTGAAACTCAAGCAGAAGATCCCGCAATGGGGCAAACCTTTGGGGTCTGGATGATGCTTCAAAAGAAGTTACGTAGACCGATAAGGAGGGAGATGCATGGGGCTAGGGTGAATGAAGGAGAAAGGAAGGGGAAAAGTAGCGAGGAGAAGAGCAACCGATTTAATATTTTAGGGGAGGATGGTAGTGAAGGACCAAGAAACAAGGAGGGAGGAAAGAAGGCAGAATGAAGCAGAGGTGGACCTGTGGAATCACGTGGGTAATGAAAGCCATGCACACGTGAAGATGAAAAAACAAGACAAGATTCCAGCAAAGGGATCAAAGCCAATGAACTCCGAGACTAAATCGAAGACAACGCCGAGACGGGTGCATACTCATACCACACAGAAGGGACCAAGTCAGGTACCGATAAAACAAACCAAGGGTGGGAAAAAAGGAGGTAACATCGAGAGCTTGAAGGGAGGAAAAGAAGGAGAAGGAGACCTAACGAAAGACTCTACAGGATCACTACAGGGGAAAGGTGCTAGAAGGAAAAATGTTGATGGTGCAGGAAACCTATCCCCTTTGGGTAATAAATGAGAATTCTGAGTTATAACTGTCGTTGTTTGGGGAGTAAGCGTTCAGTTAGAGCCCTCCGGTCGTTGTTGCGGTGTACCTCTCCCCATATAGTTTTTAATGGAAATGAGACAAACTAAAGATGAGAATGATAGCACATAGAAAGAGCTGGGATTTGCGGGTGGTGAAAGCTGGCCTTGTGATGGTTCGGGAAGGGGAAGAGCAGGTGGTCTCTGTGTATGGTGAAAAGAGGAAGTCAAGTTGACTATGATGGGAGCTGATTTACATTATATGGACATGAAGGTTGAGAGTGATCGGGATGAAATATGGCAGTTTACAGGGGTTTATGGCTTGCCGAAAAGCAAAGATAAATATAAAACCTGGGAAATGCTACGATGGCTAGGGCAGCTGTGGGATGGCCCGTGGTTGTGTGCCGGAGATTTCAACCAGGTACTTAAGACAACTTAGAAGAGGGGTGGTAGAGAGGTAAACATTGAGAGATGGAAGCGTTCGTAGACTGTATTGGCAATATTGAGCTTCATGATCTCGGCTTCTCATGTTATCAATTTATGTGGGAGAAAAACAAGCAAGGAGGCGGATTCATAGAAGAGAGATTGGACCATTTCCTTGCCTCGATTAGATGGGGCGATCGGTTCAAGGAAGCAAGGGTGCGTCATAAGGACAAGAGAAGATCAGACCATCATCCCATTATTGGCAAGACATGTGGTGATGAGGATGAGGAACAAAAGTGGGATGGAACTTTCGTTTCGACCCTTTCTGGACTAACCACGCTTAGTGTGCAGGTGTGATCAAGGAAGCATGGAATGAAGAGAGCGGTGTTGATGTTGTGTCAAAAATCAACACTGCAGGACGAAATTAGACACTTGGCATCGAAGGACGTTTCCAAACTTCAAAAAGAAAAGTGACTGGATTGGAGGAGCTCTTAAGGCTTTGGATAGATCAGTGAAAACTGAGGCAATTTTGAAATAGCAGAAGGAACTGGAAACTGAACTTGAGTAGCTTGAGTAAGAAGAAGAACAATACCAGCAACAGAGGTCACATACGCATTGGTTGAAGAGTGGGGATAAGAACACAAATTTCTTTCATAGGAGAGCTTCTGCCCGTAGAAAAAGAAACACAATTAAGTGGCTGCGTGATGAAGAGGGACATTGGTTTTTGGGAACAGAGAATGCTACTGATTGTCTCTAATACTATTTTGTGCCACTTTTTCTGCTGGCGAGGTGCCAAATGAAACGATGGTCCGAGACTCTATACAAAAATTGGTTGGAACAGAAGATAATGCCGAGCTGATAAAGCAGGTTACTAGAGAGGAAGTGGGGGTAGCGTTGAAGCAAATGGGAGCTCGAAAGGTGCCTGGGGCAGGGGGTTTACCGGTACTCTTATTTCGGACATATTGGGAGGTGGTGGCGGATGATGTAGTTGCTACAGTCAAGGGAATTATCGAGGAAGGGGCTATGCCGCCGGGAATAAATCATACGCTCATAGGATTAATATCTAAAGTAAAAACTCATTTCTCACAAAAGGAGTTCCGACCTATTAGTTTGTGCAATGTAATTTACAAGATGGCATCGAAGGTGCTAGCTAATCGGTTGAAAGGTATCCTGGATAAGATAATCTCACCACGCAGAGCGCTTTTGTGCCGAGAAGGTATATTACCAACAACGTGATAACGACGTTTGAATGCTTCCATATGATGAAGAAGATGAAAAAATGAAGGGTTGGCTACTTCTCCGCAAAGATTGATATGACAAAGGCGTATGACCGGGTTGAATGACATTTCTTGGAGGGAGTTATGAGAAAGATGGGGTTTGATGAGACATGGATTCAACAGGTTATGTTGTGTGTGTGTTTTGTAATATACTTTGTTCTGGAAAATGGACATCAGTCGCAATAGTTCACACCAAGCAAAGGGTTACAAACTTATGGCAAGGGGACCCACTTTCCACATATCTTTTTCCTTCTTTGCGCGGAAGGTTTGTCAGCATACACAAACAAAACTATTAAGGAGAAACGCTTACATGGACTAAGGACAGCTGTAGGGGCGCTTGTTTTTCGCTAATGACTGCATTTTCTTTGGTAGGGAGACACAACATGGATGCATTACGTTGAAGGGATTTTGGCCGACTATGAACGAGAATCCGGGTAACTAGTGAGTTATCAGAAGTCCGAAGTATCTTTTAGCAAGAGTGTATCACTACGGAATAGATTGATAGTCGGAGGAATGTTGGGAATGACTATGGTAGAGAAGCACGAAAATTACCTGGGCCTAGCGGCCCCAACTGGTAGATCGAAGAAAGAACTCTTCGAGGAATTAGTAGATCGGGTCTGCAAGAAGATGAAAGGTGGAAGGAACAAGTTATGTCGGTTGCGGCGAGAGAAGTTCTGATAAAGTCAGTTTTCCAGGCTCAATTATCGTACGCTATGTCGGTTTTCAAGATCTTGGATGGTATCATCAACCAGGTACATAGTCTGATTACGACATTCTTGTGGGGGCAGCAAGGTTCGGAAAGAAGGGTCCACTGGATCAGAAGGGAGGAGCTGGTCTGTCCCAAGATGGAAGGTGGAATGGGTTTCCGGTAGGGCTGCAAACGAGCCAAGTCGAATCAAGTTTTTGCTTAGCTTGAGCTCGGCTCGTTTGTAAATTTTTCAACTCGAGCTCAGCTCAAACTCGAATTTTGATAATCTAGCTCAAGCTCGAGTTTGGCTCGATTAAAAATAATCCAGTTAGAGCTCGACTTGGTAAAGCTCGGTAAATGCTCATTAACACAACTTGTCAAACTGAGTACAAGCTCGGCTCAAAATGAGCTCGATTTGAAATCATTCTTGCTGAAAAATGTGTACAAAATAAGAATTTAAATGATAAAAAGAACAATAGAAACTAAAAATAACAGCTAAATTCCATACGCATCCTATTGACAAGATAATGTTCATGTTCAGAAGAGTAATTAATCCTTCCACAAGCTCTAACCAAGCCAGCTTGTGAGCTTAGCTCAACAAGCCACCGAGTCAAGCTAGCTCATGAACTTATCAAGCTGAGCATGGTCTAGCTCAAGCTTGGCTTGTTAAATAACGAGCCGAGTATCGAACGATTTTTTCTGATTCCAACCCTGAGTTGCTCGAAAGCGGCTTGGCTCATTTGCAGCCCTAGTTTCCGGGATTTGCGTGATTTTAATGTGGCTCTCCTTGCAAAACAGACTTCAAATCTATATCAACGACCCAACTCACCGATTGCTAGAATCATTCGGGCTAATTACCATAAGAATTCTTCTATCTTGGAGGCAAGCATCAGATACAAACCTAGTTTCATATGGGGAAGCTTGATGTCGGTACAAGATTTTCTCCATAGTGGGTTGCGCTGGCGAATAGGAAATGGGGAGATGGTG